CGTTATTTACGGCATAAAAAAGAAATATCTACACAATTTTTTTCGAAATTATTGAATAGGTGGTCCACAATCTCTGAGTATTGTATGGATTTCACAATCAAACTGCCCTCATAAAGCATCTCGTACATAACAGTATTTATTTACGTACAACACCTTCGGATAAAAGAAAATACGGATTTATTTTTTATTGCTGTTCCTTGTTTTTATTAACCCATTCGTATGAGTTATCTTAGCGGCATAGTTACTCTTATGATGGCTATTTCTTTTTTCTTCTTTCTTCATTTTTTTACGAAGGGTGAACTCCTTATGGAGTATGCACTAATTAACTTACTTTAGTTAGCCTTCTTGGTTATGGGTCTAAATCGCGACGGGTCAAAATCCCGAATGGGTCAAAATCCCGACAGTTGGCCCGCGTTATGCAGAATTATTCAGAATCACGTGATATCTTGACCAGCATTAGAATTCGAGATTTTGACCCGTCGCGATTTTGACCGGATCCCGCCTTTCTTTACGGCTGATTGCTGATTTTTTCTAATTTTTGATCGGTTAAAACTTAAAATTTTATTGTAAAAAATATTTTAAATAAAAATTTTTTGCAAACATATTTATTCAAAATAATCATATTTAATGAAATTAATTGAAATTTCATTTGCAAATATAAAATTTAAGTCACACATTTACGATTTTAAAGAAAAAAATCACCATATTTATTTTTATTGAAGTGATACAAATAAAGAAACAATAACAATAAATAAAAAAGATAAAGTAAATTACAATGATCAAGGAGAAAGATGCTAATAAAAAAGTGAAATAACAATGGAGTAATGGAAGGTAATAGAAGATGAAAGGGAGTAAAAAAGAGTAATGAGAAACGATAGGAAACAAAAAGATGAAAAGGAGTGATGGAGACGAAAAGAAGTGATGCGAAACGAAGAGGAGTGATGGGAGATAAAAAGGAGTGATGGGAGACGAAAAGAAGTGATGGGAGACGAAGAGGAGTGATGGGAGACGAAAAAGAGTGATGGGAGACGGAAAGGGTGATGGGAGACGAAGAGGAGTGATGGGAGACGGATAGGAGTGATGATGTGAGACGAAAAAGAGTGATGGGAGACGGAAAGAAGATGAAGAGGAGTAAAAACTTATAAAATTGTAAAAATTTAATAAAAAATTTTCCAATAAATTTTCAATCAATTTTTTATTAAAAAAAGAAATTCTTTATTAAAAAAAAAAATTTTCAAGCCAAAATTCTCGATACCCTTATTAAAAAAAACTATTTTCAATAAAATTTTCTATTAAGATTTCTAACAAAATTCTCCATCAAAAAAAAATAAAAAAAATTTTCAACCAACAATTCTCTAATGAAATTCTCAATCAAAAAAAAAAATATCCCCTATTAAAGAAAATTTCTAACGAAAATCTCCCGTCAAAAACACATTTTCCCTATTAAAAAAAAAAATTCAAAAATTCTTACCTATTAAAAAAAATTCTCAAAAGAATTTCTATCAAAAAAAAAACTTCCCTCCTATTAAAAAAAAAAATATTTTTTTTTTGATTTTATTCTTTTATTCCCACTATTCCCACT